GAAACGGACGAATGAACAAACGGACAGAGAGAGACTGACGGATAAACGGACAGATAAACAGAAACGGACAGACGGACAGAAACAGACGGATAGACAGACAGACAGACAGGCAGCATCACTGGTGTTCATATTCTTCACAAAAATCTGTCAGGACTTAGAGGTTATGGAGTACAGGGGGGTGAGGGGGTGTTGGAGGGTGGGGGAGGGGTACAGGGGGGTGAGGAGGGTGGATGGGGGGAGGAGGTGTTGGAGGGTGGTGGGAAAGGAGGGTGGTAGGGGTGGAGAAGGGTGGATGGGGGGTGAGGGGTGTTGGAGGGTGAGGGGGTGAGGTGTTGGTGGGGTGTTGGTGGGGGTGGAGGAGGGTGGATGGGGGGGGGTGGAGGGGTGTTGGAGGGGGTGGTGGGGTGTTGCAGGGTATTGAGGGGTGGGGGGTGGAGAAGGGTGATGGGTGCAAGCAGGGGGGTGGAGGAGGGTGAGGGGGGTGTTGAGGGTGTTTGGTGGGGGTGTTGAGGGTGTTGGATGAGGGAGTGAGGGAGAGTGTGCTGCGTCTGTGGGGGATGATGGGGGGCTTGAGGATTGAGGCGCAGGGAACACACACACACACACACACACACACACACACACACACACACACACACACACACACACACTCAAACAGGATCAACTCCCCACCAACAAGTTTAATTCTTATCTCTTCCCCCCACCACCCCACCCCCACCTTCCCCCTCCACCCTCACCTTCCATGTTTCTCTCCCCATGGCCAGACAGACAGACAGAGACAGACAGACTGACTGACAGACAGAGACGGATAGACAGACAGACAGACACAAATAGACAGACAGACAGACAGACAGACAGACAGACACAAATAGACAGTACAGACAGACAGACAGACAAATAGACAGACAGACAGAGACAGACAGACTGACTGACAGACAGAGACGGATAGACAGACAGACAGACACAAATAGACAGACAGACAGACAACTTACTCCTTATCAATATGAAAGTCTCCCAACAGCGTCAAATTATTCTGCCATAAACGACAACACGACATCCACTTAGACTCGATAAAAACAAAGCACTCGAGAGTCAAACAAGTCCCTCAAACAAGTCCCTTATGGAGTCTTGGTGTAATTTCCATGTCATTTAGGTTAGGTTAGGTTTGTTTAGGTTAGGTTAGGTTAGGTTAGGTTTGTTTAGGTTAGGTTAGGTTAGGTTAGGTTAGGTTTGTTTAGGTTAGGTTAGGTTAGGTTAGGTTAGGTTAGGTTAGGTTAGGTTAGGTATATAATAGTACTGTGTGTTCTTACCTGTTCATTAGTGAAAGTGAAGGCAAGTTACCTGAGATTATGGTACATACATACATACATACATACATACATACATACATACAAGATGGTTAATGAGAGGTCTTGTGAGAGAGAGAGAGAGAGCCGACCACTATCTCTCACCATTAACCTTGTAAGTGGTCACCCACCTTTGTACTCTCTCTCATGCCTGGCTTACATACATCTCGTTACACACTCACATTTTACAAAAGTCACTTGTTCCTAAGTCTTTACACACACTTGATACGATTGACTTATCATCTACTTTTGAGTCACTTGTATTTTATTCATTTTTTATCAATTACTTTCCATTTTTATTCGTTATTTTATTTCGTTATTCCTATTTTTTTTAAATTCTTTATTGTTGTTTTTTGTTCTTTGTTTCGTATTTATTCAGTTTTGTTTATTTTTTTATTTTATTTTTAGTTTTATTTATTTATTTATTTATTTATTTTATTGTGTTCTATGTCAAGTCTTTATTTATTTTTATTTGATTTAATTTATTTCTCTATATCTTGACCTTTATTCGTATTTTTTCTTGTATTCTTATTTATTCGGTATTTTTTATCTTTTGTTTGTCTTTTTGTTTATTATTATTATTATTATTATTTGCCTCTTTTATTTTCTTCGTAATTCATTGTTTTTGTTTTTGTTTTCTTGTTTTGTTTATCAAATTTGTTGAAAGTTGATATCGTAATATAATATTTCTAAACTCTCTTGTTCTCTCTCACTTTCTATTGTTCTCTCGCTTTCTCCTGTTTTCTCTCTTTCTCTTGTTCTCTCACTTTCTCCTGTTTTCTCACTTTCTCTTGTTCTCATACTTTCTATTGTTCTCTCACTTTCTCTTGTTCTCACACTTTCTCTTGTTCTCTCTCACTTTCTCTTGTTCTCACACTTTCTGTTGTTCTCTCACATTCTCTTGTTCTCTCCCTCTCTCTAAACACTCTTGTTTTCTCTCTCCCTCAAATACAATATCTACTACTACTACCTTCGCCACCATTTTATTACCTTAATATTAAATATCCTAATACATAAGTCGCTATCCTATCTGTGTTGAGTTAGTTGAGCCGCAGATCTATGCGGCATTCAGTGACTGTTGCCTCATAGTCAATATTTGCAACTGTTGTCGGCTTTGGGGCCGATGCTCTCGTTTCCCTAAGGCAGAGCAAAGCCGACCTAAGGAGAGAGAAAGACAGTCGACATCTCATCCAGGCTGTAACATAACTTCTGGGCTGCTGCTTCTGTTCGGAGATCACCTCCGCGAGTCTGGCGTCGAAACATCTTGCACTTGGTCCCATCCCACCAGAGGTACAACTACCACTACTACTTTTACTACTACTACTACTATTTCTACAACTACGTAAAGTGGAAACACGTAATATTAGAGAGGAAATTCGGAAGTGGATTAGGCCACGGCTTACCTAACAGGAAACAGTCGGTATTAATGACACACAAACTAACTGGGGTAACTGTTACTAGAGGCGTACCGTAAGGCTCAGTACTAGCACCGCTACTGTTTATTATTTACATTAACGATAGAGGTTAGCTTGGGTTAGGTTAGGTCAGGTCAGGTTAGGTTAGGTTAGGTCAGGTCAGGTCAAATTAGGTTAGGTTAGTGTAATTAAATCCTGACGTGGATTCTGAATATTATAGGAAGATTTAAATTAACTTTTAATAAAGACTGAAAAATGACAGACAAACAAGACCTTTAGAAAATAAATGATTGGTTGATTTAGAGAATTGTGATCGATTGAGGTAGTTAACACTAAAGATTGGTGATTAGCAAGGAGAGAGAGAGAGAGAGAGAGAGAGAGAGAGAGAGAGAGAGAGAGAGAGGGAGAGAGAGAGAGAGAGAGAGAGAGAACGCAGCCCCAGGTAAGGCGAGTGTTATCATGACAAGTGACATTCAGAGAGTTACTCACCTGATGTTGACCAGCCACCAGCCCCGACCTGCTCATGGGCTCAGCTACACGGTACTTACTACGACTGCTATTATTGCGACTACTACTGATAATAATATATCGCTCGTTTTCAGGACATGTTTTAACATACTGTACACACACATTATGCTCATCAATGATGCCCTAAGAGAACGCTGGAAATATGTCGACGACTCCACCATTGGGATCAGCGTCAACAATTCCGCTCCCAACTATACCGCCCTTCAGGATTTATTAGTCTCCAAAACTGGGCCACCAACAACCATGTCACCATCAACCATACCAAGACAATGGTTATGCACATCAACCTCTCCTCCGACATTGTCCCACCTCCTTCCATTACCCTAGGTCCGAACACACTCCAGGTTGTAGATTCCACGAAGCTCCTCGGCGTCACCATAGACAACAAACTAAATTGGAAACCACACGTCAGTGAAGTTGTCAAATCCTCCAGTTTCCGTCTCCACCTCCTCCGCCGACTCAAGTCCCTCGGAGTTCCTGCACACGAGCTCCTCAGTGTTTACACAACATTCATACTTCCCAAGCTCACCTATGCCTCCCCACCTGGTCTTCCTCCCTAAATGCCACACAACGTAAACACCTAGAAAAAGTGCAAAAGAGGGCATGCAAGATTATTCTCTCCCCTTCCTACTCCACATATCAAGAAGCGCTCAACACACTGACCCTTTCGACTCTCACTGACCATCACCACGCCTCATCTGCAAATTTGGTAAGAAGCTTCTACACCATCCCCGACACCGGCCCCTACTACCACCTGAGATCCCCTGTCCGAGAATTGCTGTTCGACACCACAACCGCATCCAGCCCATACGTGCACGAACTGATCGCTATAAGAACAGCCCAGTCCCAACCATTGTAAAAATTATCAATAACATGTAATAAATCAGTGTATTCACTCCCAGTAAACACTGCTCCCTACACTGTCACTATGTTGAAATGAACTGTATTTTGAGCTGATCCCCATCTAAGTTACTATATGTCTTATTTGTGTCACTTATGTCACTTGTATATTATTTGTAATTCGTAACCCATTCCCCAAATATGTAACTGTATATTTTCAGCCTTCTGGCTGCCAAGCTCTTTCAATAAACCGTTAATTATTATTATTATTTATTATTATTACACTCCTGCAAGTGTAAAAGTGTAAACTCAAAATATATTGCATAGCGTAAAAATAGGCTACCACACATTCCTTAGAAAAAAATATATGTAAATTGTGCCTAGGATCCGTGTTTACTATTCATGGCTCCTGCATTGTATAATTTACAAATGATTAAGTTAGCTTGTGAATGCTACGCGCCATTTGTGTCAGCCATTCAGTTTTATAAGTTCCATAGTATTTCTTGCGTGTCACAGTGTTAATATCCTCGTGAATAGGAAGATACTGAAGGAATGCTTTGATCCTGATGTTTAGCTTTTCATGAATTAGGAAGTTTATTTTTTTTTTCGAAGTTTGACGTTCGGTAATGGCCAAACACCCCCGCAGGAACTACAATTACGACTTGGCAACTCAAACTGTGTGAATCGTAAATAAAACTGTAAATAAAACAGACAGGCACGGAATAGCACTCTTAAGATAAGACTATATACGCACGATTAATATTCCTGACGATGACACGGACAATGAAGTTTTAGAAACATTAGAATAACGTGAGGAAGTGATGTGTGGTAACTGAGTCCTGCTTGGGAGCGTGGCAGCGTGGCGGGTGTCGGCGACTGCGCTCTCAGGTCTCAGGCGAGTGTTGTTGTCGTGTGTGAACGGTAGAGTCGCTTCTCTCCTCCTTATACCCGCTAACACCACTTGTCAGCTGCACACCATGGATCCTGCCTTCGAGGGAGCTGGTGCCGTGGAGGGCCTGACCATCTGGAGGATCGAGGTAAGATTCTGATGGTAGATATTTTACTTAGTTAGAAAACCACGCCCACCCCCGTGCCAGGTCCAGCGGATGGGTTACCTACAAAGGGATGTCGGTATCTCTCCTCGGTATGATCTTGTTATCTGATATCGTCGAGGTGTTTAGTCGTAGTTTGAGATAAGGATAATAGATATATTTAGCTATATTTAGAGGTGACGGCGGGTAGTTAGCGGCGGAGTATTGCAGCAGGTCGGTAGCACTCTTGACCTTGGCCTGGGGGGATCGAACGATGTCTTGTGGAAGTTCTCATCTAGTGTACGAACTCTCCCGGTCCACACATGATGGTATTTGATTTTGGATTTACGATTATCCATTACATTAGACATAGGAAATATAACGAATTGACTGCGTGTAGAAAATATAAGGTTTATATTTGTTTTTTCGTCTTTAAAATTCGGATCAAACCGCCGCAGGTCAGAGCAGAATACCGAATCTTTTTCTTGTCTACAATCGGCGGACATGTTTATATATGTCTTGTTGAGAAGTTCCCTGTGGTATCCTTGAGGCTGGGGGATACACTCTAAACTTTTGTAAACTCACATGATGTCAATATCTCCTACCAACTGGGGAAAAAAAGATTAGCGAATTGTTGGGTGAAAATAACGATATAATCTATCCTAAAGTTTCCCCCGCCAGCAAAGTTTCCCCTAGCAACAATAACATAAGTCTTTGCTTTCATTCCTACAAATCAAATTTAAGATCTAATATTCTCCATTACACGAGAAGATTAGCAATATTTTTATTTTACATTTTATAGGAATTTAAATTAAGGAAATCAGATATACGGCAATAGAATCTTTGTACTTATTTAGCATTTGCGGCAACACACCCTCCCTGTGTTCACTGCCCGGGCCTCTGTCTGGTGTTGTGTTGGGGGGGAGCTAACGACTGGTGCTGTCTACCAGAATACGAATCACCTCTTTAATACGACCTTATACTGTACTGAATATTACGTTACAGAGAATCTTATACTGTATTTAAGGGTTTATCAGAAAAATACATAGAAAATACAAATCAACATTGTACTTCAGCTAACCGTTCACTTAACTGTCTTAGCCGCGATGAGGAGTAAAGATCATTGTTTTTTTTTTACTGATAAATGCCTGAAGTAGTAGGTAGTAGTAAGCGGCATTAACTTGTGATGTATCGACTGTAACTTTGAAGTTTTTGTATTTAGTTGAAGGTAAATAGTGAGGTACCGTACGTGTTTATTAAAGAAGTGGAGGGGAGGCGGAAAGAGAGTGAGGGTGATGGAAGGAAAGGGATAAATGAAAGGTCTGGGAGGGATAATGATAATAATAATAAACGTTGGTGTCAGTGTAAACGTGAGTGAGTGAATGAGTTACTGCGTGAGTTGTAGAGATTGTGAAGGGAAGGTTAGGTGTAAATATAGATAGAAGGAGGAGGTTAAGGGAAGGGAGGAGGAGGAGGATAAGGACAGTGTTCTTAGGTAGGGAAGGAAGGAAGAGATTGTTACACAAGGGAGGTATGAAAAGATTACAGGGGAAGAGGAAAGAGAGGGAAGGAGGGGATATGGGAGGCTAGACGGACTTCTTGTGCTGTGTTCCCCAGACTGTGGCAACGTTGCCAAGGTCGACAGCTACTGGCTTTGTCTCTGTGGGTGTGTGTGGGTGAGTGTGGGTCTCTTGTGTGGGTGGGGTGTATCTCTCTCTCTCTCTCTCTCTCTCTCTCTCTCTCTCTCTCTCTCTGTTATTCCCCGTCTTATTCACTAGTTTTTGTTCTTTTCGTCCCTTGTTCTGTTTTATTCCCCCTCTTCTTCCTCTTCTCCCTCTTCATCATCATCATTCTCATGATTCTTCTCTTCCTCCCCCTCTTCAAAATCATCATCATTCTGCGATTTCTTCTCTACCTCTTTCTTCCCCCTTACCAGCCCCCCTGTATTGTTTTCCTCTTCCCGTTTCCCACTCTTCTCCCCACCCCCCCTCCCCTTCCCCCCTCTTCTTACTCCCTCCTCTCCCATTTCCTTCTTGCCTCCCCCTCTCTTTCTTCTGCCCCTCCCTCCCCTCTCTCTTCTGCCCCTCTCTTCCCCCTCTTCTTCTTGTCCCCTCCCCCTAGTCAAGGTCCTTTTTCCCCCCTCTCTCATCTCTTGCACATCCATTTTCCCTCCACCCCTTCCACTACCTCCTCCTTGCCTCCTCACCTCCCTCACCCCCTCACCTCCCTCACCCCCTCACCTCCCTCGATACACAGTTACCAACACCGCTACCAACTCTTCCATGGAGACCCGAGGTATTCTCAGAAGGCTCAAACAAATGTATTTTCCTGGTAACTCTAAAAATCTCCAACTTATTCTAATTATTTCACTTTAGCTACGACACCAAGATGGCCTTTCTGATTTACTTATTATCTTGTTTATTTTTTGTGGGGGGTCACCAGAAGATTAGCTCCCCCCCCCCCCACGAGCTTATTTTACCTGTTGATTAAATGCCCAAACGCTAGCTACCTGGAGGAATTTGGTTAGGTTAGGTTAAATTATGATATGATAGCGTTAGGTTATGTTAAGTATCGTGTGAAATAAACTTGGGGTGCCTAATCTTCATGTGAACCAACGTCGCCCCAGACCTGTGAAGAATGTGGACGGTGATCAATACAAAATGTCAACAAAACCAGATCCCACTGAAAGTATCGAGTTTGTGACGTATAAATGTACTTTCTCTTGTGTATTTTAATTTTGTATTTATCACACACACACACCTACCTACCTACCTACCTACCTACCTACCTACCTACCTACCTACCTACCTACCTACCTACCTACCTATATATCTATCAACCTATCTATCTATCGATCTCTATAATTTTGTTTATTTTTATTTATTTATTTATTTTTATATTCGTGTATTTAAATTTTATTGTTTGTATTTTATTTGTATTTTTTATTGTTAGATTTTATTCGGGTATTTAGTCTTATTTTTATTTGTTATTTTTAGTTATTTTATTTTATTCTTTTTTTTTCGTGTTTATTGGAGGAGTTTATAGAGGGAGGGAGGGAGGGAAAAGGAGGAGGGAGGGAAAGTGAGGGAGGGGGAGGAGGAGGGAGGGGGGAGGAAAGATGGAGGGAGGGGGGGAGGGGAGTGAGGGAGAATCCGTCAACACAAGAGGGTCTTCTCACAAGGCTTGATTGAGAGGCATCAACTCAGTGTGTGGAAGGTCAAAGGTGAACGATAGATAGATGGTCGGAGATGAATAGATAGATAGATGTGGAATTATATTTAGAATTTATTTAGTTATATTATGTTGGTTGATAGTTAATTAGATGCAAAAAGCTAGCTAATACATACATACGTCCATACATACATGGTACACACATACATACATGATACATACATACATGATACAAACATACATGATACACACATACATACATGATACATACATACATGCATGATACATACATACATGATACACACATACATGATACATACATGCCGCCAGCTCCCTAATAAAGCCGTAATTTAGCCATAAATTACAGGTAACTACACTGTGTTACCTGGCAGGTATTATTGTTCCAGGTAATGTGGATTGATCACCACTTTAAAACATCCTCTACAGCCTACGCCTTTTGTGTGTGTATGTATGTATGTATGTATGTGTGTATGTATGTGTCTGTATGTATGTATGTGTCTGTGTATGTATGTGAGTTTATTTGTTTGTATGTGAGTTAATTTGTTTGTGTGTGTTATATGTATGTATGTATGTATGTGGGTGCTAATTTGTATGTATGTATGTTTGTGTGTGTGTATATATAGTGTTTGTGTGTAGATTATTTACATGGATTTACAAATGTGTATGCATGTCGGTGTATTTGTATGTATATGTACAATTATGTATTCATGTATGTATGTCCTGGAGGGAGAGTTATTAGTCGCTGTGTTGTATATTCAGCGAGAAGCACCGAGGTATACACTACACTATATAATGTATACTTAATACTCTCTTTTTTTATTTGTCTCTTTGTTCCTTCTCTTATTCTCTCTTATAGTCTCTCGTGTGTGTGTGAGGGAGGGAGGGAGGGAGGGCGTGATAGATAAGGAACACATCGGGGAGGGAGGCTCGGGTTATCTAGTGTGGTTAGGTTAGGCTTAGAATTGTCCTTATAATCCCCACATGTCAGTGTATGTATGTATGTATATATGTATGTGGTGTAATGGTCAGCATCCTCGCTTCACAAGCGAGTGGACCCGGGTTCGATCCCCGGGCAGGGTGAAACTATGGGCAAGTTTCTTTACGCCATTTGCCTCTGTCTACCCAGCAGTAATTGGGGACCTGGATGTTAATCGATTTGCGGATCGTGTTCCAGGGTAATGGTTAGCCAGTGCAGTTGGCGAGTTGTCCGGTCTTCTCGGACTATTCCTTGACACTGGGTCATGCAGCTCGTTAACTCAGGGTGTGGTTGTTGTGTTGGTGACAGCTTCTACACCTTAAACAAATTCACGTCTAGGAAGCCCTTGGGCCGGCCATCCACGTTACTCGAGGGACAATTAGTATTTGTTTTATTATGTATATGTATGTATGTATGTATTTTTAGATTCGTCTACGTCGTAATGCCTCACCGAAAGTTTAAGATTCAGTGTGTGTAGAGAGGAAAACCAACCGTGAACCTTGATCAACCTGGGAGTCTGACGTACAGAGATTCACACAGCCGGTCCTCCTCTTCCCAGCGTGTCAACCATTACAGGGAGACTAGTGTGTGTGTGTGTGTAGGCATCATGGTAGTTGAGGGTGAGAATGGGGAGGTCAGGTCAGGTCAGGACGGATTACTGTACCTCTCTTGTGATGACCATTGTTAAGTGATGGGGTCGAGGAGAGAGAGAGAAGGGGGATGGTGGGGTTCAGGAAGTAGGGGAGGTAAGTGCCTGGTGGTAGGAGTTGAGAGGTAAGGTGAGGGAAGTGAGGAGGAAATGACACAAGGTATTTCTAGGGAGGGAAGGAGGAGGAGG